GTAAATGTCAACACTATCTTTCCAAGTGTTAAATCAAAAGCCTTGGAGTTATTCATGAGCCTTTCTGTAGCCACACTCCACATCTAACCCAAAAGGAAATCCTATCAGCTCAAATTTCAAAACACATCCAAAGTCCCGTGACTTCTCCTCAGCCTACCCACTACCATTTAATCCTAAACATGATCATCTCTTGTCAGATTATATCACTCTAATCTCAACACCCTAGCGGCTTATTTCAGATTACTTACAATTTCCCACAGTGCCAAAAAAAGGATCTTAATCCCTCAGCTCCTGTTACCCACTGATCTCATCTCCTATATTTCACCTGCTTGCTAATTCCATTCCATGCCTACCGGCCTCTTTGCTGTTCTCTAAGCATTCCGGGTATGCTTCTGCTTTAGGCATCAGTAGAGTTTGAATGTGTCGTCCCTGCCAAAACTCATGTGGAAATCTGATCCCCAAAGTGACAGTGTTGGAAGCTGTCTGAGTCATGGGGGCGGATCCCTCATGAATGGGTTAATGCTCTCCCTGGAGGGTGAGGGTCCTGAGCAAGATCTCTCTCTATTAGTTCCCATGAGAGCTGGTTAAAAGACCCTGGCACCCTCTCTCTCTCTCGCTTCCTCTTGCCATGTGATCTGCTTGTACCCACCGGTGCCACTTTCCACCGTGAGTAGAAGCACTTGAGGCCCACACCAGATGCAGCTGTCCCAGAATCGTAAGCCAAATAAACCTCTGTTCTTTATAAATTACCCAGTCTCAGGTATTCTGTTATAGCAACACAAAACAGACTAATACAGGAATGCATGTTTTTCCCTCTGTCTAGAATTCTTTTTCCCCAGATATCTGTATGGCTTCTCTCATCTTCTTCGTTTGTTCAAATACCAGCTCTGCAATACAGCCTACCCTGACTACCGTATCCAAAGCTGCAGCTCTTGCCACTCTCTGTCACCTTGTCTTGTTTTGTTTCTTCATAGCACTTATTGCTAAGTGACCTTATATTATGTTTCTATTTAGCTATTTGTAGTCTGTCTCCCCCACTAGAATCTGTTATTTTAGGGGAGAGACTTTCTCTTGTTTAGTCCAATGCTTACAGCAAAATCTTAAAAAAAGAAAGTAATAAATATTTGATAAAATAATAAATCTATGTTGATTACCATGTAGGAATGTCATCTTCTGAAACAAAGATTACATTGATATATTCAGAAATGAGGTAAAACTTTCACAGATATACATGGATATATATTTGAATTCACTGGGAAAAGTCTGCCATGTATTATAAATAAATGAACGAATACCTGTGTCAGAAACTGCACAGTAGAGAGGTATTTGCATAATCATATACAAATTGGGAATCTAAAGATGCTTTTATAAATGTAATAAATTTTTGAAAATTCTTTCAAGACTTTTATATTTTATTGAAAATTAAAGAATTAAAAATCCCAAACAATGGTCTGTAGTCATAGGAAAACAATGGCAATAAAAATATAATTCCCAAATGATTTACATCATAAAAATGTACCTTTTAATTCATATTGAAATTCTATCCTAGTTCAGAATAACATTGATATGGATACTTCCTTTTAAATTAAATTTACAAAACCTAGCAGTTTTCTTGTGGTATTTTACATTTTCTTTGATTACTTCAAAAAATTTCTTCATTCCTTCTTTAGTTTTAAATAAATTAACAGACATTTTAATTAATCTAGTCACTAACCTGAATTTAAAAATTGATCTCAGAAGTAATCCAGTTTGCCTTTTTCTATTTATTAACAGAGAAATTCTAAGATAAGACTTATTTCTCAAGCGTAGATTATTGTTAAAACACTGTCTAATTTTTACTTAATTAGTTTAAAAAGCACCATCCTTGATATAAGCATTATTCACTAACCTCTAACTCTCATTTAACCTACAAATAAAACATTATCTTTACCACAGGTATATGTGTGCTATAAGAAGTTAATTTTTAAAATCAATGACAGAGCCAAGTCCATATATAATCTCTAAAATGGTCTTTTATCTTTATCTTCCAAAGTGCATAGAAGATAGGATTCAAGATGGTTCTATTTTTTAAAGTATTTTTTACCAATATATATAAATAATAGATTCTTATTGGCAAACTTCTGAAGCCAAACAAGGTAAAACTACCATAAAACAGAAATATATATATCTAGTGGTTCTGTAAGAAAAAAATAATTTACCTGGGATGACCCCCACCCCCACCCCCGGCCCATGTTAGTTTAGGCTGTGTATCAGCTCTTTTCCCTTTTAAGAAGCTTGGGCCGAATAGGGAAGGAGTTGGATGGTTCCAGGAAATTGATATAAAATAGCCTGAACAGTTCTGAAAGAACAGGATGGATAGCTTTTTTAGCAGTAATTATTGACCAGAGAGCATCTAAAGAGGGACCCTATGAACAGGGTCCCCATGACTCACATGTCTAGAACTTCCTCAAGTTTGAGAACTGTTAAATTAAGACTGATCTTTTCTCTTGAAAGTTTCCATAGCTAATGTTTAAGAGCAGTTTAGAAAATTCTCAAAATGCTTTGGTCTGCTTTGTGTGGGAAACTAAGCACTAAGCATTAGTGCTGTCCCTAGAGTTACAGAGCTGGTGCCACCCAAGAGAGGGACAGACAGAGTGATCATCCTTGTTCTATTGCCCAGCACGTTCCCTTGCTATAGAAGATGGAGTAGAGAAAACAGAGGAGAAATTATCAAATGGAGGCAAAGCTTTAGGGTCATTTTTGTTTTGTCACTCTGTAATAAAGGACAACACGAATTTTCGTCTCAGCATACGTTTTTAATTTCCAGACATGTATAAGCAAACAATGATTCCCTCTCCTGACATCCAGAAATATGTCTGAAAATAATTTATGATACAGTTACACAATATATGTGTGTGTCGGTATAAAGTTTCACTTTGGATTAATGAACATCAGTTTGATAAAATATAATTATCTGATTAAAAAAAAGAAATTATGCTGATTTGAGATGAGAGAATATCAAAATGAGTCTAAGGACTTAAATCCATAAAGAAAAACAGTAGAGGCAGAAGACAAAAGAAAAATAAACCTTGAGCCTTGCTTCCAGTTGATAATTTCTCGTTTACATTCTCTACTCCATTTTCTGTAGCAATGTCAGATAGACATACATGCTCTGAAGACATGTCCTGAAGGTAAAGCAGGACAAAAGGACAGAGAAGAGAGCTGCTGGCTTTAGACAGGGGTGGGGAAGGCTATATTGCAGAGGTGACATTAGGGCAAAGACCAGACGGTGATGACATAGGAGGATGCTGCTGCAAATCCTTCCAGGCCAATGGCTGAACAGAACACTTCAGTTGTAAACAGTAAAAATAAAAGTATATGCAACAAATCTTATGCTTATATTCAGCTTTAAAAAATGGTAAGTGTGGGTACTTTTAAATGGACTGCCTGTATTTGAAAATGAAAGCTATTAAAACAAAATTGTCTTGGGGAAATTAGCCGCTGTCATTTCTCAAAGAGGATCATGATGAAAACACTTTTTTAAAAAAAGTATCAGAAAGTCAGTGTAATGACTAGAGCAATCTGAAGCTTATTCAAACTGGCGTACTGTCTCAAATAATGACTTTACAAGATTTTTTAATAAGGTAGTAGTATCTATTAGTGACTAGGATTTTGATGAAATTATTAATAGAAGGGGATCTAAAAATACGCCAAGATACAAAATTATCAAATGGCATATTCTCAGATAATATCCTAATATTAATTAATACTTATAGTGTGTGTATAATGGATAAAATTATGGATTAGAAACACATACTAGGATCTTCTGAGCAAAGCCTCAGGAATACTTCCAGTAAAGAAGAAATCCGGTGAGTTTGATGTTTATTCTCTTTGCAATGAAAAGTGTTCAAAATTAAGTTATTCGTTTGCATTTCTCTCAGGCAGTCTAACTTCTCAGACTGTCAGATAAATAGTATAATACTTGTTCTTCCATTTTTCAAGTGATAAACGGTGTGCTGAGGCTTTGAATGCTGCAGTAAGTGCCGTAGTTCGGTGAAGTAATATCAAGACGCCACTTGGAATCTCTTTCTTGAAGTCGAAGTTGTCCTCTGAAAAGATTTCGGCAGATATTGTGAACCTGAAACACCAACCAAAAACTAATTTTCATGAAAATGTTAAAAATTCAACCCCTCAAAAAATTATTTTGTACATTCTTTGCAGATGATACTTTCATACTTTTTAAAAAGAAAAATATATATATTTTTAAATATTTTATTTTAATGTCACTTTTGCACAAATCAGGAAAGAGTCATATGCAAAAATTGTCATTTGGGGTCCTGAGAAAAAGGAAGGATGCTCCCCGCAAACCAAGCCTGGGTGTTGGCCATGTGTTCTCCCAGAACTGGTGCATTTGCAAGAACCTTCCACACAGAGGTCGGTCTCTAAGGCCCTGGACACTGAGTACGGAGCTCTGGCAGCTCAACTGTTTCATAGGGGCAGGGCAATGCGGGCTGCTTTGAGATCCTTTCCACTATTGCAGAGACCCCCTCAGCTTCTTCATTATTTTTTTCCTACCACAGAACATATAAAAAGCTGATAAATTAAGCTCCTGATGCTTTTTGACCTGGAAGCAAAGGTAGCAAGGCGGCCACATGCCTGCTTGTGAGAGAAAAAGAAAATAAATTTGGAGAAATACAGTAACATCCCTTATGTACCCTTGCTCATTTCTTTTCTTTTTTTTTTTTTAAAGATGACCAGTAAGGGGATCTTAACCCTTGATTTGGTGTTGTCAGCCCTATGCTCTTCCAAAGTGAGCTAACCAGCCATCCCTATATAGGAATCTGAACCCGTGGCCTTGGTGTTATCAGCACCGCACTCTCCCGAGTGAGCCATGGGCCGGCCCATCCTTGCTCATTTCTATAGAACTAAGAAAGGCCTCTGACCATCAGTGATAATAGTAGTCTCAAAGTTATTCATAATAGACCAAGCCCAGCAACAACCCAGCCTCTGCTGGAAGCCCCCGGCTCCTGAGCTGGGGTGGGGGCTACCTTGGGCCTTGGCCTTGCAACCAAGCCAGGAAGGAGCCGGCCCTGGGCCAGCCCCGACCCCCATCCCTCTTCCCTTCCCCTTTCCCCTCCGACCCCCCATCTGCAACAACATCTTAGAATATAAAGTAATAACAATAATTTAAAAATAGATAAATTTCTTAAAAAGTTATTCATAATTAAACATGCTGACTTAGTATTTGGTAAAAGATTTAGGGCATGTATTTAAATACTGCATGTACTCACTCATATGTGAGAGCTAAGCAAGAAAGAAAGAAGGAAAGAAAGACCACAGCAGTGTGTTGGACTTGCAGAGGGAGAGAACATTCCTTGGGCTACAGAGCAGAGTCGGGGGGAAAGGACAAGGGGGAGGGAGGTTGGGGATAATTGGGTGGGGGACACAGGGTACAAATGCAATTTGTGGTAATGGGTATGCTGCCAGTATGAATCTGGCCCTCACATCATGGGCACGAGGGGTGACAATCAGCTATGTATCTCGTGAATATTCATAACCAATAAAAATAAAATAAAATAAATCAATAAATTAAAAATAAAATAAAATAAAACAAATGCAGAGCCCTGTTCTCTGTCCTGCTTTGGTGTGCCCGAATGACCTATGAGACACCTCCACTTGGCACTCCGCTGCGGTCAACATCTCCAAACCAGAATTCATCAAAATTCCTCAAATTCCCTCTTTCTGCACCACCAACTGCTGGCCATCCACAGGATCGTATTTGTCAGCCTTAGCTCCTTTCTCTCTCAAATCTCACAGAAGTTTTAAAGGGCTAAAGAACTCCTGACATCATTATACTATAGAACTATAGAAGGGCTGATGTAAATCTGTCATACAATGCCTAAACTTTACTAAACATATTTTTAGAATTATAATATATTAAAAAATTCCCTTAAAACAGTAAATATTCTTGACATTTTAGATTATCTATAACAGAAATGGTTCATAATTTTTCAGCAATGTATGCCTGGCATCTAGCTAGGCCCTTTTCATAGATTTTCCAATAATTATTTTATTTACCCAGCTTGTTATAAAAGAAGAAACTTAGGCCTAGAGAGATTGGGATGCTCCTAAGACTGCACAGTCAGGATAGAAACCCAACATTAGATTCTAGAACAGCATACCTCATGAAGATGTATGCCGCCTCCTTGAAAAAAAAATGTTGGTAATACTTTTGAAAATCAAAACATCACTAGCCTATATTCAAACTAAAATTTTATTCTTCAAATAGCATAGTAGGCTGACATTATGTATTTATCTGTAAAACTCTGTTATAAAATAATTAGCAAATTTGTATTAATTTTCTCAGGCATTTTATCATTAAATCTTCAAAGAGACTCTAATATTAGGGTTTCATTTGGAAGAAAAGCATGAAAATTATAGCAGAGAGATACAGTGACGTCTAAGACAGAATTTTCTTTTCTTTTCTTTTTTTAATGAGAGTGAGTTCCTCAGTTAATTAAGAGCATTTGGACATTTTCCCTTTTCCGACCTAATAGCAGGTAAGTGCTTGTCTGTGCAAGTTTGCTCTTGGATAGAGATTTCTAAGGTCAGGCCATAGACCACAGACGCTTGCTATTTCTTCCTACAAGACCAAAATAATTTTATCAAGGTAGAGAATCTTAAAATCTTAATTTCACTTGGGCCGGCCCGGTGGTGCACTGGATAGTGCGCTGCTTGGGAAGCGCGGCGGCGCTCCCGCCTGAGGGTTCGGATCCCACATACAGACCGGTTCCCGCTCACTGGCTGAGCGAGGTGCGGGAGCAACACCGAGGGTTGCGATCCCGTTGCCGGTCCCCGGTCCGGTACGGGGGCAACACTGAGGGTTGCAATCCATTGCTGGACACGGAAAAAGACAAAAAAAAAAAAAAAAAAAATCTTAATTTCACTTTCTGAAACTTGAAATCTCACAAAGTACATGATTTTATTGGTATGTGGAGAAGGCTGACCTGTCAAAATACTTTGACCTGTCCACGTATGACCAGTAAATTCCATTGGCACCAATGAGCCTTTTCGAGGCGTATCCGACTGTCAGAAAGAAAATAAAATGAGATGAGTTTTATTTTTTCACATATTTTTAAAATCAAAGTTATGGTTAACGGCGAACCTACCTGGAATGTATGGGTTGTGCTGGGCCTTGACAACTGTTCCAGGGTAACAGTTCTTTCTTGAAGAGGCGACCTTTCTATACTGTCAGGCACTGCACTTAACACGCGGTTTTGTGGATGTCTTCCTCTGTACTAAATGATGAATAATACATTCTTGTTTAAAATAAACACAACCATTAAAAAGACAAAAGAAAATCTATATATGCCTCAATCATTCACTCATTTATTCATTCAATCCTTATTTGAAAACTTTTATTTAGATATTGCTAAGTATAAGATCTACTAAGGATAACTATATAAATATATTTTACTTATATCATTGCATTATTAAACACGCTGAAATGATAGTGCCCTATTAAGTGAATAAGGATCAAGACATTAACCACATAACATTGTTAATATTAAATTATAATAGAAATGTAATTCTGCATTTGTGAAGCCAGACTTTTTTATGTGATGTTTGCCTTTTATTATTTAATCCTAAAGTTAAAAATTAAAGCTTTGCAACTCTTGCCTTTGGGGAATGGTTTCTATTGCTGCGCTCAATGTGGCAAAAAGAATGCAAGAGAAAACCTTGCTGTGGTTGGTTGTTTTTCTCTCTAAGCCTTCATCTTCCTACAACTGGGGTCCTTCTGTGTTTTGTAAAACAGACACAAGTTACTTGTATCAGAGTAAAGTGAGGGGTAATTGTGAATTCGGGAGAGACCTGATAATACATGCTACCAGCAGCGTGACATCCCCGACCTTTTGGGGTTGCATGCCTGAGTGGAGTCTGAGTGAAGAGGATATTGCCTCTACTTTGAAATAAATAGGGCAAAAGTTGGCTGTAAAAATGAGACCTGATAAAAATAATGAGGGTAAAAAGTTAATGAGCTCTTAGTTTATGCCAGGCATTATTTAAAATATATGAGTTCATTTAATCCTTATAACAATTCTTTGAAGTAAAAATCGTTCTTCCTCTTTTACGAAGGAGAAAACTAAGGCTCAGGGAGATTAAAGTAACTTGTACCAAATCATATAGAAAGTGTGTGTGGCAGGATATGAACACACATCTCCCCGTCTCCTGACCCGATCTTCATACTCTTTTATTCACTTCACCATCCTGACCATCTGGACTTTCTGATTTAGTTCAAGCCATGTTTTTATTTCACAAAATGATGAATTAACCCTCTCACCCCCTGTAAATTCTCACAAGTCATTTACTTTCTGAAAGTGGATTATGAAGACATTTTGAATATAGAAATCAGATCATTCTCTTACATTACCGATTTCACTTGGAAGTGCCAAGATTATTTTTGTTTGTTTTCCAACACACTATCTAAATAGTGCACTTAAATATAATGAAATCTGTCTTACAGAAACAGGGCGGGATCCAGGAACTGCAGAGTTTTGCTCCCTGGTCTCTGAGCCTATTGGGGGTAGCCTGCTCCGTGAGGTTTGAACTGGTGGAGGAGACATGTGGTCTATTCCAGTTTGCCTGTAAACATGACGACATGTTACTGAGCACCCAGGTGCAGAGACGGGGGGACAGATGCTACCATGAAGCTCCCAACCTGAGCTATTAATAACAATCTGCCTATGCTATCTACCATAAGTGAATCAATGTACAGTATATGCATGTATTGAAGCAACACACTGGACCATATACATATGTAAAAATAAATGTAAAACAAAACAAAACGAAAATGAAAACAATGTTCAAGTGGGCTGAGTTTCAGGAAGATAAATATGAGCATAATGGTAGGGAGCTACTCTAACCAGGTGTTGATATTCCAAAATTAATTACCTGCTTTTTGCCCAATAACAGACATTCTAGAAATTCATAGTACCCAAAGTTTAGAAGCTGCAGGGAAAGAGACAACTTTTTGTATTGCAAGTGGGGCTATAAATTGGTATAATCGTCCTGGGAAGCACTTTGACCTTAAAAATATCTATAACCTTTGATCTGGTAGTTTTCCTTCGAGGACTACAGCACTAGGAAACAATTTAATGACATCCTTATTAAGATTGATATATAATGATGCTAACTGCACAGTATCATAATGAAAATACAGAAAAAAATGAAAAGTTTCTTTAATAGGGCAATACTTAATAAATTATCATATACCCACATGATTATTTTGTAGTCATTAAAATCTTGCTCTCAAAAAATTTGATAACATGGAAAATATAAATGATATAATTTTTTAAGGAAAAAAATTATATGAAAAAGTGCTACATCATACAATAGTAAGATCATCTAGGGTTAGAAAAAAGGCAATGGAAAACAAATATAATCCTAGACAAAATTGATAGGAAACTTACCAACAGTTATCATTCCTATATTTACGTGATGGGCATATAGGAGATCTTTGATTTCTTCTCATATTTTTGCTATTGTCCTATTGTTCCAAGGTGAAATTATAGTACTATGACAATTAGGGGGGAAATGATATTTCAATAAAAATTAAAGAAACAGCATGAACAAAATCATGGAAGTAAGAGGATGCATAGCTGGTGTGTTTGTGAGTCAGACAGATGATGAGGCTGACCAGAATCAAGGTGGGTGAGAAGAAGTCATGGGAAATAAGTGTGCATAACCAAAGAGTGTGAAATCTCTCTCAATGGGGCAAAAAGTGGTCCCTCAGGGGCAAAAAATTGTACTCATGTATAAAGCACAGCTATACATATAGATGTATGGTCTGTCTGTGGTACCGAAATTCTATGGGTGGGAGAGCAATTAGGAAAAATAGTCTAAAAGGGTTCCTTAGTGTGGCAATCATGAAAAAAAAAAGCTGAAAACATTGGTCTACAGAGAGGCAGGGGTCAAAGATGGAGGAAATGTACAATTGAAGGCACCTGAATTTATTTCAATAGGAAATAGAAATGGTTTTTGATGAAAGTGGTGGTGGAGCCCAGGTAGGCTGGGAGAAAGAGGAGAGAGCCTGTCACATGCCAGTGATGTGGGCATGGGGTGAATAAGGCATGCTAGGGGGCCACACTTAGAATGAAGCGGGTAGAGATGTCGTGAATTAACAGCACAGACCCGAATACAGCTGTAAGTAGCAGTCCTGACTTGTAAAAGAAACACTGACCTATCAAAAAGCCACGTGGTGTTATGAATGCATCTTGAAAGAGTCCTATTATGAGTAAGAGTTGGCAGCTGCTCAGTCCTCCAAGTCCTGCAGGGGGACCTGTGCTCAGTCCCTCTATTAACTCCCTCCCTTGCTGTGGAAAGCCTGCAGCATGGTGGTCCAGGGGGTGGATACCAGAGCCAGAAAGCATGGTGGGTGCGCCCAGCTCTGTCCTCTGGTGCGATGATATTTGGCAAATTATTCAACTTCTTTCAGCCTCTGTTTCTACATCTTAGATTTGGAATAATATGAGCACCAACTCAAAAATTTGTGGTGGGGGAATAATAAGATAAAGTGTAATCCATTGACCTGGTGTTGGTAACAAAGAAAGCAGTCAATAAACACTAGCTGTTACTGCCTGACACTTAAGTTGGCCGGAAAGCTCCTTCAGAATTCTATGGTAAAGGAAGAGACAACTTCCTAAGTAGGCAATGATTTGATGTTAGTCCCTAAGGCCAAAGCTTTTCTGAAACTCCCACATAGAGTGAAACACCTCCTTAAAGATAAATAAAAACTGATAGGTACCTTTCCCTTTTACTTTTACAGCATTTTTATATACATTATCGTATTTAAACCTCCCCATAAAAGAGTGTTATGTAATTTGAAAGCATTAATTAATTATAATTTTTTCAGCAGAGGCCAGAAATCCATCCACGATCAACCCACCATCACTGTTTCATTTCACTGAGCTGCCTGTGCTACAGGTACACTGACTGACCTTATATTCTAGGATAAGCTAAGTGTATTACTGGAACAAAATCAATGTTAAATACTCAAAATTAGTGAACTTATTAGGAAGGTGTCTACATAAAATTTGATAGAGGATGCTTTGTCCAGAATAATTTATAAACCCTAATTGACAAGTGTCTCTGACGTATGTGACCTTTAGTTTATCATGAGAGAAACAAGACTTACAGTTTTGTTCCCCTAAGAACTTCATCACTATACACATTGGGGGTCTTTATTCTCTGTGAATCTGAAGTAAGAGAAGGCAGCCTCCTATATACTGGTGTTTTCTTTGCAGGAGTCTGTAATCCGTGATTATCTGAGATTCGTCCCAGTCGGTGCTGTGCAGAGGAAACAGCACCGGACCCTACACCCAATGATTTGTCTTCTCGTTCATTCCTGGGGGAGAGAAATCCAGTTGGTTACTCAGGTGCAAGTGCTGTGGGAACAGGGAACACATATATTTGTGTCTTGCTAGGTACTGTCCAGAGCAGTGGCTGGCACATAGAACTTACTCCGAAGTGTTTGCTGAATGAATGGAGAGGCTATCATTTCTATTTCAATTTCAATGAAGAACCATCCAAAAGAAAAAAGATTTAAATTTCCCATTGTTTGTAGTCAAATAGCAAAGTCCACAAGATTAAGAATTCATAGCTACATTCCTCTTTTCTCATCTCTCCCAACCCAATATATAATAGTAATTATTTTCTGGTTGATGTTAGCATAATCTGTGTTTACTTTTAAACACTGACTACATTTCCCCTAGAAAGTGCTCAGGCACATCTGGATTAAATGAGATCTTTATTATTTTATGTCCTCTGTAGTCTTTAGTGTTCATGTGTTTCTAGCACAGGGAAAAGGCTGAGTAATTATTTCTTATACATACTGTGATTTATCTGCAAAATATGTAGGTCTCTGCTGAAGTGGTTTTGCTTGAATTGTCATTACACCATTCAAATTACTACAAAAATTGTTGGAGAAGCGATGAATCTGAGAAAAGTAAAAAAAAAAAAAAATTAAATTATCCATTGCCATTGCAGTTACTGATGCTTGTCAGGAATCAGCAGGAAACAAATGGCACTCTTAAACTGACTAATTTGGAGAAAAGTTAATAAAGGAACTATATTTTATAAAGATGTGAGAAGAGAAATTAACCAGAAATCATGTAAATCTCCAAGGCTCATAACAATGGAGACACATTATACCACACCCAGGTCCGCAGCAGCAGGAAGTAGGAAAGAGGTTCCAGGCACCTGGAGAGAGCAGAGAAATGACACCAACCCATGTGATGTGGCAGTAGGCCAAAGGGAAACAACCAGGCTTCATTCTCCTCCCATGCTCTGAGCTCCCAGAAGTTGGAGGGCTAGGGATTCCTTTGATATATAGTGGTCTCCCTTATCCACGGGGGATGTGTTCCAAGACCCCCAGCGGATGTTCAAAACCACGGATAGTACCGAACCCTATATACACTATGTTTTTACCTGTACATAGATATCTATGATAAAGTTTAATTTATAAATTAGGCACAGTACTCTTGCACTTTGGGACCATTATGAAGTAAAATAAGAATTATTTGAACTCAAGCACTGGGATACCATGACACTCAACCCAATGATCAAGATGACTACTAAGTGACAATGAGCAGGAATGTACACAGTGTGGATCTGCTGGACAGAAGGATGATTCACATCGCTGGCCAGATGGAGTGGGATGGTGTCGAGCTCTTTTACCTGCCCGTAATCCTGCCAACTGGGCCAATTGTCGAGCTAGGGATGGATTTGGTGCTCACAGACCCCTCAAGCCCATTGTCCAGACTGGGTCACAAACCCTTCACCTACCAGGCTGGGTCTGCAGACCTCTCACATGCCAGGCTGGGTCACCAGACCCGTCACATGCAGGTCTATGAGCTAGGTAACCAGCAAACAGGTCCTTGGATGCTATAGGTTGGAGAGGATGGCCATGTAGGGCAGATACCCAAGGCAGACACCAGCCAAGTTGCGGCCCCGTGCATGCACACTAACTCCACCCACCCACACACAATTTGCTTACAAAGAATGCGCCGCATCATCCCCCAACCAGATGGGCAGGCAAGGGAGCCTGATTAAATTATTCTATTTTCCCAACAGATAGCATGAGATTTCATCACACTATGCAGAACAGCGTGCCATTTAAAACTTACTAATTGCTTTTTTATGGAATTTTCCACTAAATATTTTTGGACTGCCAAAAGTGAAACCTCAGATAAGGGGGGACTACTGTAGTCAATGTGTATCAACCTCTCGGGCACTACAGGGTGAAGAAGGTGGAGAGAGGATCTGGAGAAGTGAAGAAAAGGTATCACAGCTCCTAACTGGTCTGCTTGCCCTGGACTTCTCCCATCCTATCCATCACACTTGCCAGAATTCTCTTTCCAGCAGCGGCATAATAGCCTGGGGAAAAACCCAAGCATAAGATCTCAAAGGCTTAAATCTGAATCCCAGTTCTAACTGCTTCCTGGTTGATGACCTTGGAAAGATTACTTTGTTCTTGGAGCTTTAATATCTTCATCTTTAAGTTGAGAAATAATGATATCCACTTCATAGAGCTATTGTGAGAATTAAATTAGATGACATTTGTGAAAGCATAAAGTAAGGATTAAATAATTATTAATTCCCTCTTCAGTCCCACAATATGACCAACTAGGAGTTAAAATAATGTTTAGATTCACGTGAGTATGATTTCTGACTAGAATTCTATTGTAGTTCCAGAATAGATATGGCAACCACAATCACATTTTCCCCATATTGAATATAAATATAAAGAAATGTTAGAGGAATAAATTAAGATCTATTATCATTACCGCTAGAATGCTTTGACCACTTCAAAATAAGCTCTATTATTATTAAACTTTGCTGTCCATTCATTTCCTTTTAACATTTATCCAAATGAAGTAGTTATAAAAGCAACAAAATAGCTTTAAAAAACTCCTTATTTTTAAAATTTCCCTATTTCTCAGGTCAATTTATTTTGCCTAATATTTAAAGGTTCTTTTCTATATTGTTATCATCAACTGTTCATTTTTATAAGATTCATGCTGCCCAATAAACAAAGTGAGAAATATTGTATTGAACCTATCAGAGCAGTTTAAAGAGACCAAAAATGTAGGCAGTTAGCAATTTCAAAAGTTTCTTTCAAACAGAAAAAACAAATGAGACTTATTATAAAGCCCTTACACTAGAGAGTAAAACAAAATTATTCGATATTCAGTTTTACCCACTGCTCCCTGAACCACACACCCTGGTTTAGGCCTGTGTTCTTTTCATCTTATGAAGATACTTGTTTATTTGCTCCTATGCTGGGTGCGTATTTTTGCCTCTTCCTTGAATATCATCCCTTTTCTTTTTCAGCTTAACAATCTTACCTATCCATTAGGGTTTAGTTCATTCTTACCCTACTTTGTGAAAGGTATGATATTTTTCCTCTGAACCCCACAGCATTTATGATCTAAAGCACACCTAATTACAAAATATATAATATAATATATAATTAGAATCTAATTGTAATAATAAAAGCTAAGTTATTGAATGCCTACTCTATGCCAAACACTGTGGTAAATGTTTTATCCTTTCTCACAGCTTCCTATCTCATAGATCCCAGAGATAATAATATTGAGATTTTGAGAGAAAGGGACTGATTTGAGATCATGGAGCTAATAAGTAGTGATGTCAGGCTCCAAATTTATAGTCTATATACAAAGCTCAAACTCTCATTCACTCTACTATCAACTATATGGCCTCTCCTTGTGTGTGTGTGTGTGTGTGTGTGTGTTTGTGTTTGTGTGTGTGTGCACATAGTATTCTTTTGCACAGCTTGACTCCCCCCAACTAAATTGGAAATTAAATGCAGCTAAAGACCAGGAATCCTGTCTTACCCTTTTTCTCTGCTCCCCCACACAAGATGGGCTGTGTGAAACATAAAATTCAAACTCCTTAGCACCACTGAAGACCTCCCATAAACAAGTCTGTTTCCAGCCTCATCTGCTACTAGATCTTTGGATAAGGATGCAATTCAAGAAAAATTTATTGAATGCTTAGTATAGGCCAGATTCTGTGTCAGGAGCTCTCACATATTTCTATGATTTTTTCTCACAACAATCCCGTGGACACCATATTATTATCCTCATTGTACAGATAAGGAAACTAAAGTTTAGAAAAGTTAACGTGTCCAAAATAATACTCCTCATAGGCCTCTTGGTTCCAAATTCCCTTTTCTTTCCAATATGCCCTGCTGTTGCCAGGATCCTGTTCTCTGAACCCTCCGTACAATCACTGTTCCCCAAACCCACCCCATCTTTCATCCATCCATGCCTTTGCTCAGCCTGAAATGGCCCACTCAGAATACTCATCCACAAAAGACCCACTCATTTCTTCATGTTTCTGCCCCAATTTCACTCCAATGCAAAAGATAAATCCTCATCCTCTAATCAGGACAAATCATTCTCTCCTTGATTCTCCTGTGACACTTTTTTTATATGTATCTCACAGCATGTATTTGCATCTGACCTTGTGTTATAATTTTTGTTTCACTAGGTCAAAGACCATATTTTATTCATCTGTATATCTCTTTGAAACACCTAATATAGTACACTTAATACAAACTCAATAAATGTTGAATGAACCCAATGTAAACTCCTTGATTCTTTTATTACTTCAGTGGAAGGAGATCTTTTATAATTTTCAAATGTTAGGAGGAAAGCATTTTTTCCTCCCAAAATATAAAAAACAGCTCCACATCTTGAAGTATCTAAGTGTCCTACTCCATTAAAAAATTCTATTAAGCTTTATGAAATAATCATACTATGTTTTAGTTTTACTGACAAACAGACCCAAGTATCTTGATAATAGAATTTAATAGAGTGGCACTCTTGACAAGCTGAGGCGAGAGATATAAAGACTGATAGAATGAGAGAGAACAGTGTAAAAGCATCTACCTGGAGTGGATTAAGATGAGAAGCCAGGGAAATGCTGCGAATCTCAGAACTTCTGGACAGGGGAACACTTGATACATCAGTGTGAACACGGGAAATGAGTGTACGTGGAGATCTATTTTCAGCCACTTCCTGTTTTTCCTTCTGCTTTTTTCCTTCTGTATCAACAAAAAAAATCAATATTACAAGAAACATCAGATTATCTAATACATATACTTAAAATTCATTCTTCAAAGAGCATATTTATTTTTGAGTTACCATGGGTCTATGCTATGGCCACTGGTAAGGGAACATTTTTACTGTGGAGAGCACAGACCTGCGTGGAACAATTGGCTAATGTGACTTTCATTTTAGTGGTATGCAGAAAAACAGAGATTATACAGTGGGGCAATAAAGAGTCTTAGTATTTTATAAAAGCCCAACTAATCCCTTTGGGCTAGAAAAAGAGCAAAAGAACAGTATTTAAATTAACATGATTATTGCCTTATTGTACAAACTGATTACATAAAACTAGTTATTAATGTCTACTACTGATATTTCTATGATATGTCTCTGCTCAATTTTAAGTAGTTTAGAGAACATTTTGTAAGTATAAATGAAGACAAATGATTATTAAATTGGCTATGTTTACATTGTACTTTGCAAATAATGTCACCAACAATTAATAACAAATATCCCATTATTAGAAATTAATTGGGTATGGTTTTTACAATTTAAAAAGTGACTTCTAGCTTCTTTCTGGAGTATTTCTGTATTTTTCCCAGAGTGCATATACATTATTTTTATGACTCAAAAAGCAATCACGTCCTTTCTGGCGTGATGAGAGCTCCCGTGTGAAGAAGGCAGGAGGCCCACTTCTCACCCCAGCCACCTTCCAGGCATGGCCCAGCTGGGCTGGGGAGCACACAGCTGAGGAACAGGGGTCTTGTTTTTCTTTTCGTGAGACCAAATTCTACAAATAAGTACCTGTGGGTGTAGTTTCCCAGTGTTTTCTAATCAGTTCTTCCAACATTTCTACCACGTTTGTCCAGACGTTATCGAATACTTCGGCTGCCACAGCATCTTTGATGCAGTCATGAGGGGAGATGGGAGGAAGTCCGTGCTTCTGCCACTTCCTACCACGGTGAGCTGGTTTTCCTTCAAGACACTCGTCATCGCTAAGGATAAAAACCCATGCTAATGACTAAAAGCATCAATGGCTAAAGTTACCATAATTCTATCTACCTATCATGCATGTACATACATTTATACATATGTTAATAGACATTATTTTTAAAACACATTGTTTTTTGTAAAATATACCCAATTTTTTGTCAGTTATATTTCAATAAAGCTGGGGAAGAAAACAAACAACTAATTCTGAGTTTCACTGATCTGCTAAATTGTCTTTTTCTAGTCTCTGTTTCGTTTATTTTGTCTCTGATCTTTGTTATTTTTTCCCTTCTACTAACTTTTTCTCATTCCTTTGGGTATAAAGTTAGGTTGTTTATTTGAGATCTTTCTTCTCGATGGAGGCCTTTATTGCTATAAACTTCCCTCTTCGAACTGCTTTTGCTGTGTCCCGTAAGTTTTGCTACGTTGTGTTTCCATTTTCATTTGTCCCCAGATATTTTTGATTTCCCTTTTGATTACTTCTTTGACCTACTGGCTGTTGAGAGTATGTTGTTTAATTTCTACCTACTTCTGAATTTTTCAGTTTTCTTCCTGTTATTGATTTCTAGTTTCATACCACTGTGGCCAGAAAAGATGCTTGCTATAATTTCAATCTTCTTAAATTTGTTAATATTTATTTTAGCATACTAATATTTTTGAATGTACCAATTTTTAATCACAATGTAAATTTTTATCATACCGTATTTGTAGCTTTTGGTTAAGACAAAATAAGCATTTAGTGCAGAGCTTCCCCTTTGCCTTTCTGGGCAATGGGTACAGGACAGCTGATGTGGCCATGAGGCCACTAGGAGCCCTGTCCATTTTCACAGGCACGCTGAGTACAGTTCTTGTTTTCTGTCTGTGCCGTGTTGTCATGAATAAACAGAAGCAGTGCTCTAGAATATACACTTCCTGCTAGGAACCTAAAAACTTTGGGGAATACATTCTCTCAAAAGATTACAAATCTTTTGGATGAGTAAAAAATACTCAGATTCTGAGTCTCTCTCATTTAGCAATGAGCATATAGTAAAAATAAATGTCGAATAAATTATACTATGAAGTTGAAATCATATAAAATTCTATTTACTCCTCTTTTCTGTCAAAAGCGAAATACTCTTCAATCTTTCCATCCATTTCATAAACCTCTTCTTCCAAGGATGGACATGCCATTAGGTCAGCAAGGTCTGTGCCATCAGGGCCTGGCGGGGCAGAGGCTGAGAGTGCTGCCGGGACTATATGAGAGCCAGAGATGCACAACCTATGGGAAAAAGCAGATTCTTCATGGGAGTTTGTAGCACATCAGGAATACAATTTTTGCATGATCATGGTGAATCTTTAAATTACTTATAAAGTACATAATCCCAAATAAAAAATCCTTTAATATTACATTTGACAAAGCTCATATCCTTAAAAACATTTTAACACAGGCATCGTTAAAAATTTTAAGGGTTTCTTAAAAGCCTAAATTATTCTATGAGTCTGTATCCTCTTTGCTATAATGAATGGATGTCACGGCACGGTGACATCAAACACAGTATGTTTGAATGGCATAAAGAAATTTATCAAAATGTATTAGTGAGCAAAGGAAAAAAGGATGGAGCTTTACTTCTTCTGCTGCTACTGCCTTAAGGCTTAGGATTCATTGCAATGAGGTGTTTTTTGATTCTGAATGTAGCCCATCTTTCACTGTGCCTTTGGAGCAAAAGTTGAAGTTAACTTCTGTGTGTGTGTGTGTGTGTGTGTGTATGTGTGTGTGTGTATGCTCCATATATATTTTACGTATGTACATATATATATACATACTCACACACATATACACATATATACACACATCATCAACTTAGAATCAGGGCATCTTGCAAAAAAAATTCTCTGTACCCACCCTCCATTAAAATCTAAACTTGCATATTTGGTGGAGCCAAGGCTCATGAATAAGATAAACAAAAAAAGTATAACTAAAACACAGTTAAATATACTTTTTGAAAGTGACTTTTCCAAACATACTCTCTGATGTGGCTGCTGCATTCACAGGTGTCAGGTAAGGGTTTGTGTACAGCAGAACTAGGCACACTACCCTGGAAATGCTGAAACCCTTCATCGGCTGGCAGGATGAGCTGTCTTCCTAGAACTCTGCAAGGTAAACAAAATAAGAAGCTACTGATATTGTTGATCAGACAAGGGAAACATGTTCTGTGATTTTAACAGTAGGCTACAATAATGATTTTGAAGGTATGCGTATGACACGATAAGGTGCCAACTGGTAAATCAGAAGCATCCTGATGTCACAGAAAAAGCACAGTCTTTGAGAGGGTGGGATGGACTGTTCTCCCCCCTGACAAGAGTCTCGAGGTAACATTCTCAGGCTAAGCCACTGATATCATTGGTTAGTTTGTTTTTCATATGCAAGATAGAATAATGACCATTACCTTGTAGGACTGATTAGTGGCTTTGAGATAATGTATGCCAGACTCAGGCGTCTAAGGCAATGCTGGGCACTTGGAAACTCTCTCCATATGTTAACTAACATACACAAACTTCTGAAGATCTCCCGTATACCCTTGGCTTATGTACCTTGTGATCTTTTCTTACTCCCCCCTCCCTCCTTTGTTTTTTATCTTAACTACTGGAAAATAATGGTGACAGGAACAAGTCTGAGCTTCTGACTTTTTGATAAGCGCACCATCCCCAGAAAAATAAACATCAACAATGAATATCTGGTGGATATATCATACTCTGTAAGGCATGGGGCTTATGAAGGACTGAAAAGAAAAAAAAAACAGCCTACTTAGTCAAGATTTTTTTTAAATTACCTAGTTGAGATAACCAGAAAATTCATTCACATTTACATGAGTGCTTTAATTTATTTTACTCAAATATAGAGAAACTTCAGATAACTGAAATGGACTTCTCCATAAGTAGTTTGGCTGAGTGACTTTTATGGATCAAATGTGTCCCCCCAAAATTCAGGTACTGAAAACTTGACCCCCACTGTAACAGTGTTAAGAGGATGGGAAATCTTATCACGGCAATTGAAAGGTGTGGCCCTTAAGAGGTGATTAGATAGTGAGGACTGTGCCCTCATGAATGGAGTGACCCATTCATAGAGTAATGCGCATGGTTCTGATGGCCGTAAAAGGAGATCAAGTGAGCAGGTTAGCTCTGTTCTGCTCAGCCCACTCTCGCCATGTGATATGGTGTGTCACTTAGAAGGCCCTCACCAGATGCACCCCTGGACCATAGACTTCCCAGCCTCTAAAACTGTAAGAAATAAATTTCATTTCTTTATAAATTACCCAGTTTCAGGTATTCTTTCATAAGCAACAGAAACGGACTTATATAATGATTGAAGGAAAAAAAGTTTTCCTTTATACCCAATCTATATTCTCCATCTTTGATATAAAATTAATAAATGCTCCTCCCCACATAAGAAATGGTGGTGGAAAGGAAAGATGCATCTGTCCAGTCATTCGGCAAGTAATTACTCTGCCCACCCGTCACCCCCAGCGTCATTCTCAGGGATGAAGGACAGACACATGCTGCTCACATACTAGTGAGCGTGAAGGTGAAAGCTTATTTCTGCCATTCTTGTATTTGTTACGTATGTAATGCTTTTCTGAAGATGAGTTGGATTTGCTTCTCACACATTAAAAGGCACTTGAGCACTGAAATGTCTCAATATTTCCTCAGACACCATAACAAAGGATGTGATTTCTCAGTAAGGGACTGCCTTCTGGATACATACTATGACTGGGCAAGTACTTTCAGCCAGAATGTCTTGACTGAATGAAGCCATGCCGGGAGGGGTAGTTCAAAAATCCATCCCAGAGAATTTCTGTGAACAATGTCCCTACCTCAGGTGGAGGGATCTTCCTGCCCACTCACTGCATTCAGCCTGCAGATTCTGGGTCTGAGGGCTTACTTTCCCTTCAAATAACATTTCGTCCACCTCCCAGAACAACTGCTGCACCTTCTGTGCACTGGCTTTGTCAAATTCCTAAAACAGAAATGCACACTTAGTTACCACACTAAAAGTTGTAGAAATATGGGCTTCACAATCAATGACACATAAATTTAAAGAAACTTATTATATAAGAGGGAGTATAACATGATAAAAAGCATGTGGGCTTTGCAGTCAGACATACCAGTGCTCCAATTTTTACTTTTCTGATAAATGACTTCTCATTCTGACCCTCAGATTCAAGTGAAAAATAGAGATAATTCCTACCACACGAGTTTTGAGACTTTACATAGATACAGATGTAGGTACAGGTATACATATTGACATAGAAGTAAATACAGATACACAGATATACACACACCCACATATCTATGCACAAACACATATACACATATATGTACACAGACATGTCCCTCATATAGTTGTGCTTAACACACCTAAGCACATCTGCAAAATACAAGCTATTTGTTTTCTCCTGTTGATACTACGGAAAATGAAATTACTTTTGTAGAAAGGGCCATTAACCATCTTTTAATCAATGAAGCAAAAAAATAGAAAATCCGTAATTATCCTAAAAAGTGGTTGTTATGGTGAGGCCAGAGATTCCTGTCTGGCCTTAAGAGATTCTTGTACCATGGGTGGAGTGAACTGTGGATGAAAAGACCTTTCAGCCTTCCTACATGGTCTCTGTTGGGAGATAATAGTCCTATAGCTCTCACAGCCAATAAAGAGAACATAAACATTGCTCTAAGTGGGAGAACCGGCACTGCACTGGGTTCCAGAGCAAGAGCCCAGCCATGTTTTCTTCCAGGACTAGTGAATCTGAAATCTAATCCACAACTCAAAGCAACCAAGTGCATATTCAATGTGACATACCTGACCAAAAATGGCCAATTCAGGTTGATTTTTACAGAATGCTATTCAATATTTTCTGTGTAAGTTCTTCTCTCAAATTAATAATAGATCCCTAGATTACAGGTAGTCGACTTATCTCTTTTAAAGTGCAAATAAGAAGAAATCTAATAAAATTTGTCTCTTAAAAGGGAACTGGGTAGCTGGGACATGGGAGTTTACTTTCATTTCTTTGTCTTTTGCATTTTGTTGCCATTGTAAATATTTCCTATCAAAAAGTAAATTTTTTAAAAAATTAAAGTGAAAAGCAACTATAGGGTCTGGAGTATTTTAAATTCTATAACTGGAAGTCATAAGAATCTCCCTGGCAATTCTATGAAAATTTGTAGCAAAAGAATCCCAGAATTTGGACAGTAATGAAGCAATGGCTCTCAGCCTTCTTCCCACAGGCATGTTCATGAGGAAAAAGGGTGTGGGAGGTTATGGCAGTGGGTGGGCATGAGGGTGGGGAACAGGGGACAGTTGATGATAAATGAGGAAGTCACACATTGTTTGAAAAAGTACCCTGAGCAATTCTGAGCTGACTCTTCCAGAATCCCCTCCCACGACTCTTTCACTTCCTACTCCTTTGGGAATCACTGCTGTATACAAGGAAGTAAATTCAGATGTGCTGTGAGAGTGGAGACCTGCTTTTAAAGATATCAAAGAAAAACAGAATACAAACGAGGAAGTAAGTAGAACACCCAAGGCACTATAGTGCAGGCCCTTCTGTAGCCAGATGGGCTTCACAAAAGGCCGTGTCCCAGGATTCTTGGGGACACTTGAGGGGATAGAGAGGCAGGAGGCTGTTGAGCCAGCAGAATTCTCAACAACAGCCAGAGCTGTAGACTAAAAGTTCACCCAGCTGAGAATCCCACTCTCACAAAGAACAAAAGTCGGTTAACAGCTTCCACTAGGGGTGGAAGGTGAGACTAAAATATCTGACTGAGACTATTGAGGGGGGAATTCTGTAATCATGGTGATGTTTTACAATTCACACTTTCCAAAGTTTTTCTCTTATTCAAGCTCCCAGTTGTCAGGGTTTGTCTTGAATTTCCAGCCACAGATACCAAACAAGAAGTCACATATAACATACTGCGGATGGGGGTGGGGGTGAGGGAGAGATGTGGGAGGGTGGAAAAAACAAAATTATCAACAGTTAAGACTCTGGGCTATGAGATTATGGGTAACCGTTATTTTTCTCTATATTTAGGTATTCTGATATTTTTACATGTAACATGTAAATCCTTTTATATGTATGCATACGGATGTATGTAAATAGGTAATGAGTTTATAATTAGTAAAAAGATTTTATGAACATAAGAAAGCAATTCTTCATTATAAATTATAACCACAGGATTATCCAAAATATTCTGAGACATACATCATCTCTCCAAGAATATATTGAGCTCCTCTCTGTAGACAAACCAGTGGTAGAACTCTGTGTAGTAGAACCAGACCAAGAGTTGTGGGCCTCCCTGGGCGTGTGGCTTCCGCTGGATGAAAATGATGACGGAGGAGATTCACTGCAGGAATGAACATAAGCGACAGAAATAACATTTACTTAGGAAGACGTTGTACTGGTCAGTAGCTTTACTTCTCTGAGCCTACTTCCTCTTTCTTTCATGAAATATATTTGTTAATTTCACGGTACATTAAGGTAAAACTATTTTTGCAGTATAACATTTTCCCTAGGTTCAAAATAAAATTGCATCTTACTTTTAGAAATTCATGGCCAATCACTGATTTTGTTTCTCATATTTGTTATGGGCATTTTTTCATTTTTAATCAGAAGCATTTAACAGGTTAATTCTTACCAGGTATATTTATCAATGGCTTTCTGCACATTTCTTGTAAAATGCGTAGGTAAAGGATCTTTGCTTTTCACAACAAAACTGTTCTTTCTGGATCCTTCTGACAGTCCTCTTCTGAAAAATAAAAACAAAATAAAACATGAAAATTTCCCTTGTATAATAATTTATTCATTAAGATTTTTAAAATTTCCTTTTGTATAAAGTTGCTCCTCTTCTGCCATGTCCCCCTAAACACACGTGCATGTGCATACACATACACACATACACACACATGTACACCCTCCACGTCCTCAAGAAACTGAGATCTAGGACCTTGCCATTTTTATTTTTCTTAGAATCAAGGTGGCCACTAACTTACATATACCTTTATGTGAACTGGACAAAACAACAACAACTTTTTGTGACTTAGCCAGAGAAGTAAAAGCTGCCCCAAGCAGTTGACAATATTCCAGACACAGTCTTACTGCAAAGCATAAGGCTCAGCAAGCAAAACATGGCTGGATTTCAGGACCCACTTGTCCCTTGATCAAGCCGCCTCAAACCTGTAAAAGTCATCTACTCCTCCAGTAAAAAAAATCATTAATCCCATAGTAATTCTGAAATATAACAAATCCCTTTGACTCACTAAGAAGCCACACAAACATCTAACTCACTTGACTTTAGCATTGTTGTTTTGTGTGTATCCTGATTTTTAGAGTTTGAAAATATTAAAAGGTAATGGAGAACTAGAACAGAAGAAATATCTAAATTTTAAATAAACTTTTAAACCTAACTAGTGTAACACAGTTCATGTTAATCATTAAAATGCCCTTTCAATGAACTTCTTAAAACATTTACTTTCTTCTAGTCAAAATATCTTCCTAATGCTTAAAAGTAAACCACTTCTATTCTTTTAATAGAAATCATATTTTTCCATGCAAATAAAACATATTAATTTAAAATATGGCAGTGAATTAGAAAAAAAAAACCTCAACTTTCAGTATTTCTAACAAGAACACCACTCTAGCATGTGGTGTTCAACATTTCCATTTTTGTAAATGGAATAAATTCTGCTCTCACTTATGTATCCACAGCACTGTACAACAAAGGACATTTGTAAAACAAATTAATTATCATAAACAGATTGGCAAGGACCTCTGCTTTCCATAGATATGTTTTGTACAGGAGAGAATAATAGAATTAAATGATTTTTCTCCTTCTTATATGTTTTAAGTACAATTGAGTAATTCTGAGGATAAAGGTGTTAAGGAAAAGTGCACCAGAGAAAAGAACATAGGACAAACTTTTGTACTAATAAACTATCTTTACCCCTGTTCAGTTGTTTTAATTATTTATTGTTTACGTGTGACTCAATAACTTTTCAAGCAAAGATAAAACAATGGACTAAAAAATTAAATCAAAGAGACCTGTCTTAAACATTAAGAAATACATACTGATATATTAGTATGTTATTGAGAAATAATTTTAAAACTCAGTGTGATGAATTAACTAAAATACTGTTCTTTCGTGACATCTGTATAATAATAACAGCGGATTTGAATTTGCTCTGCCATTGATGCTTTGAGCGAGTTACTTGTCTCCTGGACTCAATATCCACATCCGTAAAACAATGACAATACTGTCAACTTCTTTTGTATGGCTGGGTTGTGAGACTTGAAAGTGATCAAGTATGTTCAGTGTCTATATAGTCAGTGCTAGATAAGTCAGGTTTGTCCGCTCACTGCCATTATCATCGTCATATATGTCATATATTACTCTATGAAAATGCTGAGTTCTCACTGTTCCTTTGTAGCCCCTACAGCATTTTGTGTTCTAGAGATCTCTTCTGGCATTTTAACTTATTGTGATCTTCACACCTTGTTCACTTACTTATATATGTAGCATCTAAAATAATGCTTGTCACACAAGAGATGCTGTCTCTGTTTGTTGAAAGAATCAAAGGGCAAAGATTAAATTGGTGACCCAAGCACAGAGCACGTTTTTGCTCCATAATTACTCTGAAAATTCATGCTTAAAACAAAAAATTGCATTGTGATCAGACATTAAAATACTCTCCACATTCAGGACATTTCAGGAGAATTTTTTATTCTTCGTAAAGATAGAAAAGGCACAGCTCTTCTTTGAGCAGCTGATACCCCCAAAATTGGCTTTCANATATATTACTCTATGAAAATGCTGAGTTCTCACTGTTCCTTTGTAGCCCCTACAGCATTTTGTGTTCTAGAGATCTCTTCTGGCATTTTAACTTATTGTGATCTTCACACCTTGTTCACTTACTTATATATGTAGCATCTAAAATAATGTTTGTCACACAAGAGATGCTGTCTCTGTTTGTTGAAAGAATCAAAGGGCAAAGATTAAATTGGTGACCCAAACACAGAGCACGTTTTTGCTCCGTAATTACTCTGAAAATTCATGCTTAAAACAAAAGATTGCATTGTGATCAGACATTAAAATACTCTCCACATTCAGGACATTTCAGGAGAATTTTTTATTCTTTGTAAAGATAGAAAAGGCACAGCTCTTCTTTGAGCAGCTGATACCCCCAAAATTGGCTTTCATGGCCAAGTGGGTCCTCTGCAGCACTCACTACCACTTTTTGCTTCTAGATTCTTCCTTGCATTTTGTGCAACTGGAAAGCCAAATTCACTGATTTGGACACATGCCAGTTTGTTTTGTTTTCAATGAATAATAATTTCTTCCTCCAGAAATTCACTTTTCTTGCAGGGCAGGAGGTGTCTTTTCAAACTAAGAAGAAAATTATTTATGAAATGGAGGAAGTAATTTCTCCCTTCACATTACACCATATCCTTCCCCAAACCAGCTCCCCTACTCACTGGAAAGTGCAGCTGGGGGAGGTCTTGAAGTTGCAGGGCAGGGGAGACGGGAAGCTCTACCGTGATCCCAGGAATTACTACCAAATGGATGCCTGCAAACTCCTACTTCCCCTCTTCATCTCTGTGAAACCTCTTGAGCTTTGGAGTTCAGTGTAACAACATAAAAATTCGGCCACACAATTCAGAAGAAACTAGGTGAAGAGGAATTTGAACCCATAACTCAATGACTGCCCAAGGTCACCAAGCAGATAGGGTTAAAACTTATCCCACGACCCAGGCCGCTGACTGGCATCTCTCCAGGAACCACAACCTTATAAACTGGAAACAGAGCCTCTTATTTTTTTTTAAATTGCATTTTGGTTCTTTGGTTTCTCTGTCCTCTAATTAAGCACTACACCGTTATTCCATGCATAATATTGAACATCTTTAATTCCCTGTAAACTATCAACTCCTATAACTTCTACACAGTCTAAGAAAATATAGACAACTTACAGAATTTACCCTGTATTTTAAAGGTTGAATGTGGTGGAATGTCTATTAAGTTTATATTACACATTACATAGACATATAACAACTTTACACTAATTCCTGTCTATACAGTTTAAATTTCAGAAATGATAATATATTACTTGTTCGTACATTTAGGGCTATTCTTTTGAGGACAGATCTTAAGTTCTCTTAGGGCAGTCATTGAACTGTATAGCACTAATTTGTTGGTGCATCAAAGTTAAGGCTGGGTCTCAATCTCCAGGAGTCACTACACTCCAGCTTTCAGGAAATGACTTAATCGTCTGTCTTTACTTTCTTAGATTGTTTCTTGATAGCCCACAAACCTCCCCCACAATGTCCTACAGAAACTCAAATGTTAAACAGGGACCGCAGCTTTCAAAATTCTGTACTCGTATTTCAATTTGAAATGATTGTGTGAAATGAGCACTGTGTTCTGAATGGGTTGAAATGCAGTATGGTTTTCTGGACTGCGCGACACACATAGGCAAGGCCACTCAAGGGTGGCCATCCCCAAGCTGTTCCTCCAACATAAGACAGACATGTCTCCCTGACTTCAGACGAACAGGTCCCAGGAGCAAGCTGGACTCTCGGGACTGATGGAGAAGTCACCTGGGACGCGGTGCTTCTCAGAGCAAGTGAGCGACTGCACTTTGGAAGGCCGGGTGATGTCACACGCCGGACTTTATGAAGGGACGCAGGGAACACAGCCCCGATGCATTCCGGCCTCGCAGGCAGGAAAACATCACGCACACGGCAGCAAAATGGGACGCGACAGACAATTCCTTCCACCTCCCCTCCCAGATGGAGACTTACCCAATCACAATGAGCCCCAGGCCTCGGCTCGCATCCCCCAGGCCTGGCCCCGCGCCCCGAGGCCCGGCCGTCCCCGGGCGCAGGCACCCGGCGCGGGCCCCACGCA